GGTTAATGTGCATTGCATCTAGTGTTGTTGATTCCCAACACAAAGTAGCTCACTCTGTTGTCACAAGAGTGGCAGCTGCCTATAGCGCTGTCAGTGCACTGAGCTCGTAAGCCATCCTTGCTACAGTGGACTTATGAGGAACTTTCTGGCTACTGCTACAACTACTACAACTACTACATGTACTACCACTACTACTACCAAGTTCCTTCATTATATAAGAGATCAGCTCTCCCGCATGAGCGACTGGTACTTGTGAGAGAAGGGATTTGTAAATAACCTTCCTCATTCACATAGGGAATTCATGGCTCGTACCTTCATCTACAGACTCACATGCACGGTCTTCTGTCAAACTTAAAAGGTAATCATTTTCGGACTTTAACTCTGAACACTCTTTTTGTAAACTGCGGATCTCAAAGTTAAATGCACGGACCTTACTGTAAAAGTCAAACAATTTTTGATTTTGTAATTTTACTTGCTTCTGAAGCTTGCTAAGTTTGTTGTTTTTTTTTAAGGCTGAAATTTAATCGTTACCAGTGACATTTTTATTTTCTCTTAGTTTCTTCAACTGTCTTTTGTGAACTCTTCTTTCATGTCTAAGTTCCTTTTCAATTAGTTTTATTCTATTTACTTTTTGAGTAAGTTTCTTTACACATGATAGGTTTTTTCTTGCCTTTCTCACAGTTGACCGTATTTCAGTATTTCGTTTGGCTATTTTTTCTATGTCTTTTCGTCTCCTTGCACAGTCTTCACTATCATATCGCAGACGTTTGACAGAGAATGGAGAGTGAATGCTGGCAAAATTTGAGAGTGAGGATGTTAATGGGCAAAGAAAGGAGGTTGTACAAAGAGGGGCAATGGGTGATGAACAAGAAACCGCTGCAGACAAAGGTGCCGTGTGTGTCATACATGAGGAGGAAGCTGTGGAAAAAGGTGCCGTGTGTGTCATACATGAGGAGGAAGCTGTGGACAATAGGGGCCGTGTGTCATACATGAGGAGGAAGCTGTGGACAATAGGGGCCGTGTGTGTCATACATAGGAGGAAGCTGCAGACAAAGGGGCCGTGTGTGTCATACATGAGGAGGAAACTGTGGACAAAGGGGCAGTGTGTGTCATATATGTGGAGGAAGCTGTGGACAAAGGGGCCGTGTGTGTCATACGTGAGGAGGAAGCTGTGACTTCACTTCCTGATACTCCATCGGTAGGAGGGAAAGATACACATGGGGAATCCAACAGGACTACTTACTCAGTTTCTAATAGTGTTTTGAAACGCTCCCAGTAAGTGGATATACTGATTTTCTTCAATGCACGATGAACCGTTCCATATGACCCCTAACTGTATCTGCTTTAACTTATGACTTAAGAATGACACCCAGAGCAGACACGGCAAGATAATACTTTTTCTTGTATTCAAAAAGCAAAAAGACAAGATGACCATTTTTTAAATTGTGTTTGATGGAGTTAAGGCACGTTAGTCATATTTCGAAAGAATTAAGTGCTTTAAATTCAACTCTAGATCTAGTTCTCACAGTTGCCATATTGGCTCAAAGTCACAAATTCTACAAATATAATATTATTTTTGTAAGAGTTTGTTGGTGCTCACAACTATAATATGTCACATGAGCACGAGGGACTCAAATTTGGTTGTTTTCACGCTTGTTTGCGGCTTAGTTTTACTTTTTACAGTCGGAATAGTTATTGGTACCAATATGAGGATAATAAATCGATAAAAGTGGCTTTGGTTAACTTTTTGAAAGTTTCGTTTATTTTGACTCCAGTAGGGAGAAAACGAGATCTAATGTTACAACCATAAAGCAAGTTAAAATGGTGCGAAGTTCCCGTAACAAAAAAAATTTCAAGCAAGGATAGAAATAGAAAGAGTGGAAAGAAGTTAAAGAATCTAAATAGAAAAAAATAATGAATGTCTTTCGAACGACAAAAGGCCAAAACCAAAACAGGTTATTGTAATTAAAGTGGAATTGATTTATTTCAACTCTGGGACAATAATTTATTTTTAAACTCAAAACGAAACAAGTTTTAAAATTGAAAACTGAAAAAAAAGAATAATTTTAATTCAAGCAGAATTGATTTTTTTTTTAAACCACAAAAAACAAACACCGTAAAACAAGTTCAAACAAAACAGATTTTTTACAACTTAAGCAACAGTCGTTTTTTTTTTTTCAATGCAAATAGAACGGATGTTTTCTTCTATTCAAAACAAATTCTTTTCGATTCCACAAATAGCTTTTATCAACCGCAGCAAAAAGCCCCCAAACTTGTTAAAACTCAAACAAAACTACTTTAATCAACTCAATCAAAACGTTTTTCCTCAACACAAACAAAGCAGTTTTTTGTCAACTCAAACAATTTTTTTCAACTCAACAAAACAATAAAAGGCTAAACAAAAAGAAAGAACAAAACAAAATAAATCCAAGAGCAACAATAAAATCCCAACAAAACAGACTTTCCCAAATAGACAAAGATTTTTCTTTCAACTCAAAAAGCTAGTTTAGTACTTAGTAAATCCACGTGCAATAAGTGAAGAACTTGAAAAGGTAGATGCAATACCAAAATATCAGATGGAATGCACAGGAAAATAAAAATTTTCACTGCAGACAGAGCCCATTAAGAGTAAAATTTGAACCTAAAGGGGGAAAATGGGCAGAGCTTCTGCATTTAAAATTGAAAAAAGAAAAATAGAGCAGAGTCCTTTTGCATTTGAAATTGGGGTTTTGAAACTGAAAAAAAATTAGCGGAGCCCTTTTGCATTTGAAACAAAAAAGAAGAAAAATTGTGCGGAGCCCTTTGGCATTTGAAACTTTGAAAAAAATTGGGCAGAGCTTCCGCTGCAGACATTTTTCACTTGAAAAAAAAATGGAACAGGGCCCTTTTGCATTTTAACAATATAAAAAATGGGCAGGGCTTCCGCTGCGGGCAGAGCCCTTTTCAATTTTTTGCATTTTGAAACTGAAAAAAAAAATTTGAACAGAGCCCTTTTTCACATTTTTGCATTTGAATATCAAAAGAAAACAATTAGGCTGAGCTCATAATTTAATATTTGAACCTCAGGAAAAAATTAACATGCCTAATGAGTTTGCACCATTCTCATTCTGTCAGATTAATTGCACCTTATTTTACGCAAATATTGCTCGGATGTCTTTGACAAATAACTGATGATTAAAGATGTAGAATAGCTCCCATGGAGACAGATATGCCTGAGCAGATCTGCTAACTTCCGGTAATGGAAGGCTAATAAGCGTGTTTTGATATTTGACCCATCGCAGTGTGGAGCTTCAAAAACCACGAGGGGAACGCTCAATGCCATTGAAATTTGGTAGGATTATGGAAAAATTGTTGCAATGTGTAACCTATATAATTAAAAAGCTTCCGGCAATCAACTAAAGTTTTAACAAATAAATCCAAAATTTACCTTACTTTAACGTGAATCTCACTCCAAAAAAATGGTTGCGTTCAAAATCAATAAAGAGCGGTAGAAACTGCAGACTTCGTTGATAAGAACGAAACCGGATACTGCTCCGTCGATTACCGGAAACGGGCTCGAATAACGGATTAACGAAAATGTGCTTTCCTGTGGCCCGAAAATCGGCATCGCGGGCCACCGCTATTTCGGGAACGATCCGGAAGAGGTGACGTGAGACTATCTCGGGACCATTTTCCCTTGTAGGCTAGATTCACAAAGAATAGTTAAACAGGCCATAGGCCTTTAAATCAAGTGTCTATTGATTGTCTATTGAGTGCAAAAGTCAAACAGCTATGTCTTTGAGGGGATAGGTAATGTCTGTACACTCCATATGGAACCAAGTTTCACGAAGGTCTCATGCAGTCCGTCTGCTCCCTCCACTGAGGCCACACATCTGTTCTGGTATGTCTTTCTCTCCTGCTTTTTCTAACTGCTCATTGAGAAGGTTAACCAGTGCTCTAGTGTCTGTGGGTCTTCTGCCTCTTTTCTACCTCTGCTAAGGTGCTCTGTTGTTCTTCTGCTAATATGTGGGTGTCTTCTTAGAAAGTTACTCATCCAGTTTGGACCAGGACGCCCCCCTTGAAACTGAGTGTCCATTCCTTTGTATTGTACGAAATCTTGTACAGTATCGTTTGATGTTTGATAACATAGCCTCGTGTAAAATAAGTCAACAGCTGATGTATGGATCTAAAAATAGCTAATTAAAACGCTTTCAGTCTTCGCTGCTCCACTTTGGCTGTAAATTGTAGAAGATGAGTATGAGGTTAGTTAATTTGTTTTCGCTTTTCACTGCTCCTTTCTTTTTGTTCCTTGGCTTTGTTTCCAGAAGAGTTCCTTAGATGAAGTATAGTATGAATTAGTGATTGGTCTTGACCTGAGCCGTTTTTATGGTAAGGTCTATTCAGTATTCAGACTATTCTGTTTGTTGTTTATTGTTTACCTTTACTTCTCCATTGCTGATTTCTAGACCTAGCTAATGCATAACTGCCACCCATACCACGACCTTTAGTTCAAAAGTTGGCAACCTTGATGGGATGGAAACTTGGATTTCTTAGTCTCTAGGCCTTTTATCATTTTATTATTGCTAATTAGGAATGTCTCTGGTTTTGCTCTGTATTTGTATTCATGTGTGACATGCCCCAGTGACCAGTGGGAGAGATATCATAAGAGGTATTTTTAAAATTTTGGTTTCAAAGAAAAGCTTAATGAATGCAGTAGGAAAGGGTTGGACTTTAGAGTTGTGTTGGATGAGGGATTAACATTAAAAGTGAGGTTTAAAAGATAACGGTGGGGTATGAGAGTGAGAGGAAAGGGGTGGAAATTGGGAGTTCAACAGCTACATTTTTGGCTGGGTTTTTTCATGCATTTCTTTGCATCTCTTTTCCACTTTATAGAAAATTTTGTTTTCACAGAACATTGTGATTTGCATCTTTATTCGATTTGAACAAAGTGTGAATGAACTAAACACAAAAAAATGAAAAAGAAAGTTGTAATCATAATCAATGTGTACGGAACTTATACACCTTATTTCTGGACCTGTTGTGTAGTCAATGATCGAAGTGGTCAGTCCTTACCTCTTCCACAATCGTCGTGAACTCGGTAGGTTTCTGACCAGATTGAAGTTTCAAGCAAAATGGTGGTTCTTGTTCAAGAACAAAATCATGTCGATGTTCTCATCCTTCAGGTTGGCCCTTTTTGGGAAATAAGTTCCCCTGCTGTTGAGAAGAGCCGCTCTGATGGAACGCTTGTTGCTGGGATACACAAGTACTTTTTGGCCAGCTTCGACAGCTCAGGAAAAAGTCCCTCATGTGCTCTCCACCAGAAAAGTGGGTCGTCGGTCCTGGGAATGGGGTCCTCTTCCAGGTGCCTCCGCATTTCTGTCTGTGGCCTGATGTGTGGGTTAGCGGTGGTCTTTAAAACATTCTGGATCTTAAGGTCGAATGCTTTCCAAATTGATTCGCTGGGGACGTTGGACTCAGTTGTTTGATCATCGGAGCTGGAAACGGCTGTTGTTGGAGGAGCAGTCGGCTTTGCCAGTCTCTTTGCCATCTTACTAGAAATTTCTTGAACTGCTGTGTTGTCCAAGAAGGCGTGTTTCTTGAATCTTGGATCCAAAAAAGTGCTGGCAGCCCAAAGAAAGATCTTTTCATGATTTTTTAATCTGTTGCAGTGAGACGCAAGCAGCAAGTCGTTCAATCCTGTTTTTGGTACTGCCTTGGCGGACTGCAGAAGGAGATTAACAAGTGGCAGACACATGGCGATGGTGGGAAAGTGTTCATCGCTTGTTTCTCTTGTGGCCTTTTCAAATGGTCTGAGGTCTCTGGCAGCATCTGAAATGAAAACCAGTTCACTGTTGGAGAGGCACTTGTGCTGGCGGCTCTGAAGGGAGAGGGCAGTTGTTATTTGTGTATGTAGCTGAATGTACCTCTCCAGCATAAATAAGGTTGAATTCCACCTCGTTGGGACTTCCTGACTAAGCTTTAAAGCTTTTTGGGCGTGCGCCCCCTTTTGCTGCTCCCGTAGATAGTCGGCTGCCTTTGTGCTGTGGTGGAAATAGGACACTTTGTCCCTGGCCTTTTTCCTTGTCTCTGTGAGTTGAATAGCATTACCAAGGGCGTCATTCACTTCCAAATTGATGGTGTGGCCAAAACACGAAAACTGGCGGAGAGGAATTTGTGTAACGGCCCTCACCATGTTCTGGCCGTTGTCAGTCACCTCCACATTCACTTTGTCCTGGATATTCCGGCGCTTGATGATCCTTTTTAGCTCTTGTGTTATATTGTCTGCAGTGTGCGAGTCTGCCATTCTTACAGTGTTGAGTACAAACGACTGAAGTTGCCAATGTGGAGACAGACAGTGCGCTGTGACGGTCAGATAGCCCTGTGTTGCCCGTGAAGTCCACATATCTGCTGTCAAAGCAACTGCGCTTGTGTTGGCAAGGGCCATCATAACCTCTGCTATTTTATCACAATACATTTTGGGCCCTGGAGATTTTTGTCCTGCTTGGTAGCTGGTTCCTGGATCCAAGGCATTTATCAGTCTTCTAAAACCTCTGTCCTCCGTAACAGAGAAGGGCTGCAGGTCCAAACAGACCATCTCCGCAACAAGCATGTCGAGGGCCTGAGCTCGAGGTGATGTCAAGGGATACAGCCTTCGTGATTCTATACTCTGCTGTATGGTTGGCTGCGTCATCCTTGCAGTTGCTCCAACCTCGGCAATGCTTGGTGGGCCACCAGCTGTAGCAGATGATGGACCACTTGCTGGAGGACCTGTCCTTCCACTGCTTTCATTGTCTCCAAGGAGTGTTGGATGTTTCTTGCGTATGTGGTAAATGAGGCTTGTCGTTGTTGTTTGAAATTTATACTTGGTTTGACATACATTGCAAACAGCCAATCCATCTTTCTTCTTAAAAAAGTCCCAGGCTAAACTCTTTTTACTGCTCATCATTAAAGATTTGTTCTCCTACTTTCAAACAACAATCTCAGCAAGACAGTGGTCAATAATTTACAACAAAGTAATTACAGTATTTAAATGGAAACAGAAAAATGTAACCAATATCAAACACAATTCAATCAGTAAAGTGTACACTAATCATTCAAATTCTCAGTTCATAGATCTAATGCATCAGACAGTTTATTTTTAAAAAGCATAGCCAATAAAAAGTATAGGCACAGAAACAAAATCTGCACTATAATATAGAAAAACTACAGTTGCAGGTCAAAGTTAAAGCATTGAAATGAAGCAAAAAGCAGAAGTCAATATCAAATCAGTATCAAATACGAGCATTCACTCAGTACCGTGTACTAATATAATTCCAACTCTCACTCTCATTACAAAATGTATCAGACAATTTATTCAAGAAAAGTATAGATCTAGTTAGTAGTAGTAGTGGTAGTAGTAGTAGTAGTAGTAGTAGTAGTAGTAGTAGTAGTAGTAGTAGTAGTAGATCTCGATCTATAGAGGCATCGTTACACAATCCACACAATAATACAGAAAAACAATTGCAGGTCAAAGTCAAAGAATTGATAGAAGAAAAAAAAACAACGAAAGTATCCAATCTAGACTAAGATTAAGAAAGTGAATAAGCCTAGATCTAGATCGAACGAAAAGGTTCTGTCAAGAGCGGTTAGAAGGAGAGCAGAGGGCAGAGAGAAAAAAGAGGGGGAATTGAGATGAAGGCTTTGTTTATATAGATGAAGATGTCACTAAGTCATTGGTTCACATAAAACGGTAATTCATAGGCTGCACCGTAGCCTAGATATATAATAAAGGCTATTCATTGGACGATGTGTCTCAAGATCATGTAGATCTAGATCTGGGCCTAGACTAGGCCCTCGCCTAGACCTATGATTCTGCTGCTGGCACTTTGGGGGGGGGGGGTGTTGTTGGGTTTATGAGGGGTTGGTTGGGTTTTTTGGGGGGGGGTTTGTATTTCTGTTAGTAAATCATTTAGAAAATGCATTCACATGTGCCTTTGGAAGAGAATAATCATAAAGGAAAAGCGATGACAAAGTAGAGCTACGCGACTGCGCGCATGCTCAATGCATGTGGATCTTTATAAGACTAGGATAGGCCTAGGCGAAAATGTTCCGTTATGAATATTAATAAGTCTCGTCTCGATTTCGTATTGAGGGCGCGAGACATTTGCCAGTTTGTTGGTATTCCAGGAGGACGGTTATTTCTATCTCTGCGAACCTCAGTGCAAGTAAAAAAACACGAGTCTATTAAGAGTTTCATCTCGGTTTCATATTTAATGAGATTCGTAATTGTGTCTATGATATTAACTATACTCCAGGACAGCTATTTCGTGCTAAAAAGATATGAATTTATTTCAGTTTGACCAATTGCCTTGACAGAATGATGTTTTTGGCGTTTATTTGTTGGCATCGACGAATTTTGGCGTTTGATTGCTGTTTGTTCGAGTATTGCCGGTTTGGGTTTTACCCAGGAGCACCATTGTCCCGAAAGCCTAAGTAACGAACACAAAAACTGCGATCGTTGAAAATTAAAAAGATGCTAGCTTTTATATTGAATAATTATCACTAATTCTACTATGATGCTAAAGATACATTTTTATTAAATCATTACTGTTTATTCCATTTTTTGTTAAAGTCTAAAGTGGGCCTAATTTCAAAACGAAGCAAAGATGAATATAAGTTTCGCGTTTGTTTGATGGTGACAAATAACTTTGGCGTTTGTTTGATGTCTTGTTTGATCAAGAAAACATTTTCATGGATTTACTCGACCAAGAGTCTTGCTCGGTTAACCGAAAAATTTGACCGATCAATTGCACCACTAGCCTATATAAGTTCTTAGCCTTTTTGAAGTGCGTGCTTTTTCAACAGAACGTTTTGGAAATAGATCTACGTGTTTTTTCATCAGCTCTGAGATTTTGAGAAACAGTTTATATTTAATTTGCTATTCCAAGTGTTGATCTCTAATCTTTTGGAAGTGCATGTTTTTTCATGACCTGTGAGATTTTGGAAGTGCGTGTTTTTTCATGACCTGTGAGATTTTGGAAGTGCATGTTTTTACATGACCTGTGAGATTTTGGAAGTGCGTGTTTTTTCATGACCTGTGAGATTTTTGGAAGTGCGTGTTTTTTCAGCACCCGTGATATTTTGGAAGTGCGTGTTTCTAATGGATATGTTGTGATTTTAAAATGTAATTAATTGTATGGTAAGTGACTCGCTATGTTTATGCTAATTTTTCGATGGCTTTGAACTTATTGTTCGAACATGGACGTGATAAAGCAGGTGCCATAAACGTTTTGCAACAACACAATGATTTGCGAGTAAACCCACCGAACTGTGCAACATGTGGGCGCATTTTGAGTTTAGTGAAATCTGGCTGGGGGGGGGGGGGGGGGGAGAAAATTTTTCGCTGTCCAGTGCATAAGTGTCAAAATCTCTTTGAGAAAAGACTCATTTTTTTAAATTCTCACTTCAAATTACATAAAATGTTGCAACTTTTTTCTTTTCTTTTTTTTTTGGTGTGGGGGGGGGGGGGTGGGCTTTTAAGACCTCCAGTAAACTCTACACAACTATTAGTTGGGGTGAAAGAGGAAACTGTGGTACAGTGGTATCAATAATGTAGAGACATTTGTGCCAACTGGCTAGTTAACAACCCATACGTGATAGGGGACCCCGGACACATATAGTCGAAATAGATGAAAGCCTTGTGGCAAAGCGGAAATACAACGTTGAACACGCTGTGCCGGAGCGGTGGGTATTTGGGGGAGTTGATAGAAACACCGGACGGAGGTTCTTGGAACTTGTTCCAGACCGCACAGCAGCATCCCTGCTGCCTATCATCCTTCGCTGTATAGCACCCGGGACAATCATCCACTCCGACGGGTGGCGGGCATATGTTGGCATAGGAAATTTGCCTGTAAATCCACCTTACCAACACCTGACTGTCATTCACGACAGGAATTTCGTCGAGCCTGTCGCCGGTGCTTGTACGAACAGGGTTGAATGCCTTTGGAAAAATTGTAAAAGAAGATTTAAGCAGATGGCTGGAGTACACAGGACAACTTTACATTCCCTCCTGGACAAGTTTTTGTGGAGGGAGATCCATGGGGACAACAAGCAAGCCCTCAACAACCTTCTCCTCCACCTGTCCCAATGGTACCCCATTCCCTAAGGTACGTGTGTTATATATAATTCCTTTGTTTTTGTCTTCTTTTTTTTTTACTCCTGTTTGAGTCCATTTTCCATTTTGGCATATCGGGTGATGTTTTACTTTGACCTTTCCGAGTCATTTCCGGCTCTCCGATGTCAACAAAAGTCTAGACCACCATATCCAAGTAGTGCCGGAAGATCTGTGCTTCTACCTTGGTGTGCATTATCGGAATATTTCCACTTCTCCGCTGCCACAAGGCTTTGTGGTTTACACTATATTGTGTTGCTGTTTCCTAAGCCGATATGTTCCCAGTCATTACTAAATTGTAGGCTGCAATCATTTTTGAGTCATTGCTCAAACAGAATACATTTTTTTAAAGTGATTTAAATCAGAGTTTTGTTTTTAAAATCAAGTTGATTTAAATTTTTAAAAATCAACTGATTTAAATCAACCCAACCCTGGTTTTCAATTATGAAAAAAGTACATTGAGAACTACTATTTTACAGTGACAGGGGGGAAAGCAGACTTTTAAGCATGAATATATTACTATTAGTCTACTAAACCTTATATTGTTTAATAAAAACCAAGGAAAGGAATTCTGAATGTTTAAATATATGTAAAAACTGATTAACTTTTTTTGAAAAGTGATTTAAATCACTGATTTTTTTTTTTTTAATCAAGTTGATTAAATTTTTAAAAATCAACTGATTTAAATCAACCCAGCTCTGATTTCAATTATGGGGGAAAAAGTAAATTGAATACTGTATTATTTGACAGTGAAAGGGGGGAAAGCAGACTTTTAAGCATGAATATATTAGTCTACTAAACCTTATATCTGTTTTATTAAACCAAGGAAAGGAATTCTGAATGTTGAAATGTGTAAAAACTGAATAAAAATAAATATTTTAAAAAGTGATTTAAATCACTGATTTTTATTTTAAAAATCAAGTTGATTTAAATAAAACAATCAACTGATTTAAATCAACTTGATTTAAATCAACCCAACCCTGAGTCCTCTCTTGATCTACTTTGCTTTAGTGTATTGCTGTCTAACCCTTCACAATCACGAAGTACGGCTTTCGCCTTACACCTTCACAAAAAACGCTAAGAAAATAATAAACCACGAAAGGGTTGCTACACTGTAAAAGGAACACACCGACGTCTTCAAAATCACAGAGGCAGTGTCTATAGCGTGTTCACTTTCCTCTGACAGCGTTTAAAAAATATTTGCGGTAGACTGTCGGGTGGACTGACACCCAATGTTTTGCAACAGTTGTCAACTGCAACATTATAATGAGAATATGAATTTCATGTCTGGTTTGTTTCTCAAAAAGTTTTAACAAGTTTACTTTCTCATTTCAAAGGCCCGAAATCTATAAGAGGCCCAGAATCTACATGAAGACTAGGTCCCCGGTTGCCATATCTGTCAGCAACCGTTCTGAAGCTAGATCGTAATCTTCAGAAGAGCTCTCTGACATCCCATCTAACCAGTAGGCTACCCTACCGAGAAAATTGTTTTCTTCTCTCTTACTTTCACTTCTGTAACCCTCACCCAATACATTTTTTCTCATTTACTCGTAAGCATGAGGTTGCAGGTTCGGGGGTTCGAGCCTCAGCTCGGTCCGACGTTGTGTCCTTGGAATAGGCTCTTTACACGAAAATCCCATTTGGCTCTGTCCTTTGGGAGATGGACGTTAAACTCGGAGGTCCCGCCTCTTTAATAACTTAACAGTGTTGATAAAGGCGTTAAACCCATACCATTTCACCATTTTTTCAAGATTTTTTCTCCATCAGACTTTTCCCAAGCGTGTCTTAAAAGAGCCCCAATTATAGATGACCCCTCCCCCAACCCAAGATGTTTTAACCTGACCCTTTGACCCTCCTCTACAGTATTAAAAACATCATTATCAATTTTCTTCTCCTGAAGAGCCTGTTTTAACCCCCTCTCTACCTTTTTCCAGAGCCTCTTATCCCTAGCCTGTCCTAACTCTAAAAGGCGAATTCTTGTCGCCTCATCTACTGCT